ACAAATAATTTTGAGATTGGTAGATACAAATATTGGCTCCACTGCACAACCCTATACTCTGTGGTATTGAATCTATCCATAAGGCTGTTACTAGCATACCGGTAAGCAGTTTGCATTAAATGCCTTCATCAAAAACTATGAACAAATCTATGGAAGGTAAATGATTACAGGTTCACATGCAACAAGGATAAACATGGATTAGAGTTTGATTCAATGCAGAAATGTCCTATGCATAATTTTTCAATGCAACTTCTGGAATAATATCAAGATGATTCCTGAACATTGTTATATTTAATTTGGTCCATTCTAGTCATATGGATCACTTTCTACAAACTAAAAATCATCTACCCACCCTCACTTGAGTGACTTTTACCTGTATAATATAAGAGGAGTTGTTATCAAAATGTCATGAATTCACCTTTGACATCAGTAAAAAAATATGGGAGAGTTTTCTCCTTCCTTTTAAAATGGATAAATCAATATATTTAGCTATTCATTGTAACAGAGTACAATTTTATTTTCACATTTACATCGTAACCCACCAGCTGAGAACCATTACATAGTAGTAACAAATGAGAAATACACACTGATGCTGTTTTAAATGGAAAGTAATCATTGCCCTGACCTTAAGCAAATTGTTTAGACTGGATTGATCAGCAGTTTAAATGCTTTGCCTGAGTAATTGGATAACCTTGGTCTTCTTACTTCTTGACTTTTTTGCCACGAATTCTTAATGACAGTGTCCCCATAATAAGATATCACATTGATTTCACAGGCAGAAAGGGATGACTGACAGGAAGAGGGACATGATGTGACAGATGTGATTGTTGCAGTTAATGGTGTGCTGATGCTATGAAAATCTGTTCTCTCAGTTGTATCTTACATCATTGTTAGAAGATCACGTCATTTTAGGAGAATCATTTTTGCACGTCATGTCATTATTGGTGGTGTAAAGGGCTGTACTGAACAAAGTTGTTTGTATGATGAATGCGTATTATCTTCTTAATTTTGTCATTTTATCTTAATCAAACTGCACAAGATGCCACTGCAGATGGCACGAATTTTTAGTTAGTCCGGATTTTTGTCTTCTCCAATCAGTTTCCCCAGGGATGAACTGCTTAACATTCGTCAGTACACACCACCCAATCTATTCAATTCAATTCAATTCTATTCAATTCAATTCAAGTTTATTTGTATAGCACTTTTCACAATACATATTGTTTCAAAGCAGCTTTACAGAAAGTGCATTTCAGAAAAGTACATGGAAAAATACATTTGGTTAATCATGTAATATTAAGGGCATAACATATCGCCGGCGTCTAGTCGTCTCTTAACAGGCGTTGAGTCGTCTGAAGTCTGACGAACGCCATTTTTCTTGGGACTAGCGTCCCGAGATAACAGCAGAAAGGCAGATGGGAAATAATTAGCATAGCTGATGTTCATAATGATTTCCATTACATGGGAGTAGATGTTAAACCACAATCTCACAAACTCTCCACAACCCAACCATACGCGTTCCGTATGGCATACCACCTACCGCAAAACACAGTATCTGTCCAACCACCCATCATTCACGCAATACAGACAGGAAAGTAATGACTGTAAATACTATGCAACTTATACAAGTAACCTGCAGACTCTTCAAGTTTTATAGTATTAAATGCATTCGATCTGATTCAACAGAGGAATAAAAGGTAAGCATTATGTGAATGGTTGGCTAAAGAGATGCGTCTTTAGTCTAGTTTTAAATTGTGACAGTGAGTCACGGACCGTATCGGGAAGGCTATTCCAGAGTTTTGGAGCTAAATGCGAAAAGTCCCTCCCTCCTTTAGTGGACTTAGAAATCCTAGGAATGACCAGAAGCCTCGAATTTAGTGATCTTAAAGAACGCGATGGATGGATTCTGTCTCTTGATAGCATGCGTAGCACTGTAGTACCAGGGTGCTTTAGTTTTCTCTCTAACCTTTTTTAATCTAATTGGTGCAACAATATTTTTTTTTTCTTTATTAAACAAACATACATACAAACCAACATAGTGCAGTGAGCCATCTTGTAATTGCAGAAGTGACATAGAGTGATTTAAGTGTTTGATCTAAGTGTGTATGTGATTTGGTGTGAGTGTGGGTGTGTATGTGTGTAACAAAGCTGTTACAAAGGCGGACTCCATCGTGTTTCTGCAAATGTTTCTCTTGGCTTTGCGATCCTTTATTACGGTCAGAAAAGATGTTTAGAACACATCTAAACCCGCCCCAGACCCCGACGTAAGCATGACGTGGTAAAAGAATGGTTCTAGTCCAGCAAGTTCTAGTTCCCGGCCGAGAACCGGTTCTTGGGCTGTCGAAATACAAAGAACTGGTTCGCGCGCAGGCACCGGCTCCGAACCGGCTCCGAACCGGCTCTCAAAATGCTTTGTTGGAAAAGGGGCTACTGAGGAGCGGGAATTTTCTTAGCAATGTTAAAACGCACATCAACCGATCACTTGTTTAGCGTTCATGTAAACACTACATTCAGATTCACCAATCAGAATGAATTCAGTTAGATTGAAACAAAAGGTGTGCATGTAAACAATGAATGGCGACCGCAGAAAGTAAAAGCTGAATCCCGGACATCGACGGCCGGACATGTCCGGGAAAAAGAGGACGGTAACCCACTCAGCTTTCTCCACAGAACAAGAGCCTGCTAACTTAGCTTCCAAAAAAGATGGCTGACACTATGTGTAATCCTAATCCTCCATAATGCATCCGTCTGCGTGTTCAGCTTCGTCCATATTTTCAAAACGTTTCTGCCGGTGAAATCAGACACACTGGCACTGATCTGTGATAGGTCTAATCTGCGCATTAGGCCCAACCCCCTATGGGCAGGTTTGAAAGGATGAGATCTTGTACTTGTAGTCTTTACAGAAATCCCCCTCTCTTACACTTCCTCCTACAATGACGTAAAATTAAGATTTTTGCTTCATTGTAGGAGGAAGTGAAAAAGGTTAAATATCAGATTTCTCTCGTCTCAGGGGAAAATAGGAGAGTGTTGCACGACCATTCAATAGTATAACTGGTTTTCTAAGTCTATGGTTTCTAACAATGGAAACCTTAATGCAAATGGGTGGAGTGACCCTTTTAATTGTTATTCAAACAGTGAAATAAATGCACAATAACAATATGAAAAATTATGATTATTATTATTATTTGAATTACCATTGTTTTTTTTATAAGCAGTTTACAATCTTTTGAAATATCTAGCTAGCTAACTAAATGTATGAGGGGCTAACAATAAGGGAACTCAATTTTCCCATTAGAATGACTTAAATGGTTGTGCCAGTTAGCCAGTAATACCCTGTCCAGTTTAACAATCCGCTATTGACAAACTGGACTGTGTCAAAAGCACATTAAAAAAAAAATTATATAGTTTTTTTTATGTACTTTACCATCACAGTTCACTGCTAGGTTGTTAAATGTGGAGTGCCATATCCCCGGATAAGTGATCGCTTATGGTGAGCTCAGTGCTGATTTTTAGTTATGGAATCATTTGTAAAGATAGAAATTAAGAACCTTGTCCCACTTTACCAGTATTCACCCTATGTGTGTCTTATTCACATTCACACCTTTATTTTTATTTGACTATATGGCTACTGTTGTTTTCTCTGTATTGGAAGCTTCTGCCAAAAATATTGTGTGTGCAAACATACCTGGCAATAAAGCTCTTTCTGATTCTGATACAATATTTGTAATATTAAACTGTTTTGAGGTTAATTTATCTAATATTTATTGTAAATCATGCATTATATTCAATGGCCTAATTCTATGAGTTCAACATCTTTGCTATTAATTGAAAAGCTAATTTAATTAAATCATTCCATTTGAATTTATCGTGTTGCTATTAATGTATCTTCAATTAAAATATGGGCTATTATATTATACAGTATATTCACATAGGCCTACTTTTATGAGTAAATATCTTTCAGATGAATCTCTTTTACTGGAAATTCACATTGACTGTCACCGTTATTCAATTATTAACTTATACATATTATTTAGTATTTTAAATGCTTTTTAAAATACATTTAAAATACATTTCTTTAAATGCAGGTTCTAGGGGTGTCCATGGTTAACCGGTTAACCGGAGTGAAACCTTTTTGCTCGGTTAAGTGGCGTCAATAAATATTTGCACAAAACTTTTGCGGGTTTTTTTTCTTTCTGAATGTCAATAAAAAAAATATTATGAAATGACGGCGATTCCATTAACGATGTTAATGCGACTAAAACATATATATATATATTTTTTTCCTTTCGCGATAAGTCATTCAAATAATGGCAACGGAAGGCTAGCTAGCTATATCATAACCACCGCACTAGACATTATTATTATTTATGGAAGAAGACATGGTGTGTTATCCAAGCATTTGGCAGGAAAAGACACAGAATTACTGGGTGTTTCTCCCTCATTTCTACTCCGAGGTCTGGATTGGCATTTCTTTGAGGTTTTGTCTAGTAGGCTATTCCTTGTTTCTTTTTATGAATTTAAAAAAGAACTCTGCCTCGTATTTCGTTCATTCATTATTTAAATGCAGTTTTTCAATAAAGTAGCCTACCCTTCGCTTTCGTCTCCAAACATCGCGAGACTATGGAAGCTTATAGCATTATTCAATTTGAAATGTAATATGCAAAATGACAATGCAATATGTAAAATAGCATTTCATTTTGTATTTAAATTTACATTTTACATTACCATTTCTAGAAACTCAACCCATTCTCATAATTTACATATCTAATCATTTCTGTAATGCATTTTCATTTTAATTTTGCCACTTATAAAGCGTTATGCATATTAAAACTAGTGTATAAAATAGCAAATTATGTCATTTCATTTTCATTTTGCACCAAACCTTGCTAGAATGGTAATGTAAAATGTAAATTTAAATGCAAAATGCAATGCCATTTTACGGCTATTGCATTGTCATTTTGCATATTACATTTCAAATTGAATAATGCGCTTTCCACGAGACGTTATATCAGTGGCGTGATTCAAACTGGGGCAAACTCAAAAAGTGATTCTGTGAACGTGAGCACAGCATAGAATCGGACAAGATGTCGCTGTTAAGGTAAGTAGCACTGTAACACTGGCTGCCAGTTACATTTAGGATTGATTTTAAAGTATTATTACTGGTATATAAATCATTTAATGGGTTAGGACCTCAATATATTGCAGATATGCTCACTGAATATAAACCCAACAGATCGCTCAGATCATTAGGATCACATCAGCTAGAAATACCGAGGGTTCACTCTAAGCATGGAGAGTCTGCTTTTAACCATGCAGCTTCCAGAAGAGATCAGGTGTGCTCCTACAGTAGTCACATTCAAATCCAGACTCAAAACACATCTGTTTAGCTGCGCATTTACTGAATGAGCACTGTGCACTGTTCGTCCGACTATTCCTGTACTTCATTTTATTTTTTGTTCTAAATTGTTTTAATTATTTACTGTATTTTATTTTTATTATTATGATTTTTTTTTAAACTGTTTTAATTATTCTAATTTCTTTGGGTTATTTTAATTTCTTCCATGTAAAGCACTTTGAATTGCCACTGTGTATGATTATGTGCTAAATAAACTTGCCTTGCCTTGCCTTCTTTATTAACGGAATTGTTATTAGGTGCGCTGAGGCCTGCGGTGTTGTCCTCTTTTTATCAGTGAGTGCTAAGAAGCTATAGTACGACCACAGCAAAAGCAAAATAAATAACATTTCTAAGCAATAAGGTACGAGAGGCTGGCTGTGCTGTATCGTGAATATGTAAGGCGAAACGGAGTAACCCCTTCTCACGATACAGCACTTGCCTCGAGTAGCCATACCTTATTGCTTTTATAAAACGGTTGCCACACAATATTAAAGTAAAAAACGATGTATTAGTGCAACTTTCTTGAAGAAAAATCACTAAAAGCCGTCCTTCCGCTATAAAAAATAGTCTCAGGGACTCGGGGACTATTTTTTTCGGTTCTATGTTGTTTTTATTTGAGCTGCTCAAATAAAAACAACATAGAACCGCAGTGTTGCAGATCTGTGTAAAAAAAAAAAAAAAAAGATCTTTCGGAGTGAAAAGGAGAGGATATGACTATGAGGACATCTGGCTGACGTGCGTACAGATTTTTTACTACTAATAGGCCTACTTTAAATTCAAGTTCACGTAAACTTTTCCCTCTGTTGCGGCTGTCATTTATTCTCCATTCAGCGTTCAACAGTTCGGTTACGGCAGTCATCAACGATGAAACTCTCTCCAAGATGATTCAATCTTAATAATAGCCTATTATACCTGATCTGTAGATAAAGCTCTATGGTTTCACATAAAATGACTATCTTCCTGTACTGCTGTAAAGTTACCTTAATCATGTTCTTTTCTACCGTGCGTCAGTTTTGGATCACAACACTAACGTTAGCCCCCACTTGTTCCTCACGCGCACACAGCAAAATTTAAAACTGTTAAAAGAAAAGGCTCAATAAACTATTGCACAGATAGATACTGTCAATATGCATCGAAATGTCTTTCTTTTTCAATGCGGCGGACTCGAAGAGCTGCGCGCTGTGACTCCGTGTGGCTTCAAGCGTGGATGCGCATGAGCGCTTTGTGCCGCTCTGTATTGGAGTCTTTCATAATCATATCATAATACTTTTGCGCAATGAAAGATTATTAATAGCCTTTTTTGTTCTGTCCTATCGATGGTGCTGCCTCATTAAACAGCTGTGCTATATATGTAAAAAATGTCTTAATTTTAGAGTAGACTAATATATATAGGCCTAGCTAATATATATATATAGGCCTATGTATTTTACAACAATACAAAGAGCAAATATATGTGTAATGTTTTACCAGATTTAGTGCTAGACTTATTGTCTTTTATTTTTTTCCCACTAAATAATGATATTTTTTTTCACTAAATGTTCAGATTTTATACAATTATTGTGCACTTGTGATTTTTCTAGACTAAATTTTACTGCTGAGTTACCCACTAATCTAGTTTATAAAATAATTGTAGTCGTTATGATCATATATATATATTTGATTTGTTGTTTTTCTTTATAATGAAGTTGTCTGTATTAAGTAGATCGTGTTTAACACACAAACAAGAGATTATCAGTTCAACACACACAGTTATAGAAATTCTACTTTATTTTTTATTTTATTTTTTTTAACTGTGCTGGTATCGGTATCGGCCGATACTCACCATTTTTTCTGAACGATCTATTCCGATACCAAAAATTCTATCGGGACATCCCTAATATTTTCTGGTAGCATCTAAGTTAATTCAGGAGCACTGTTGACATAGGCTTAGCTAACGTTAGCTTGATGAATTGAGTCGTTGAACACAGAGAGAACGCAATGTTAGCCAGCTAGCTAAAGCTCCAGTGGAAAATTAAATTATTAGCTACGGAGGCCATAATATTTTTGACTAATGGCTGAAGTTAAGTTTCTCCAGCTCTCCCCAGGTTGGCAAAAATGCATATCAACATTCATCAGATTGATGCTTTAAAATATGGAATATTTAAAATTTTCTTGCCGGGAGCATGCCCCCGGACCCCCCTATAGGGGTAATATCCTTCTCACCTTTTTCACCCCTGACCCCTTTTCATGCTTGGGTAACTTTGGGACAGCTTCTTGCCTAGCTACATTGTACAAAAATGATCTGTAAATGGGCTGTAAAATAAATAAAAATGTACTTTTTTGTTAAAATAAGTTGTCATGGGTCCTGCATACTATCCATATAGATCCGCCACCTATGTCCACCACCAATTTGATTGCCGGGGGGGGGGGGGGGGGGTTAGGATTTGACTAATAGAATTGACATCCTATTAATAGGGATCACCTGGTGTTTTAATAGTTTCTGTTAACATCACTTGACTAATTTATTTCTTTTCTCAATTTTGTAGTTTTCTCCCTGAACCCACCCAACTGTCCCAGGACCAGTTAGAGGCGGAGGAGAGGTCTCGTGTTCAGAGGTCACAATCCACTGCTTCGGTCTCCACTCGCAGAGAACCTCCTCCCTACGGCTCCAGGAAATCATGGATGCCCCGGTCACTAGAGGTACTGCAATACAAGATTATTTATGATTTGATTAGAGATTATTTTTGGATGAATTTATATGTATGTATATATAAATATACACAAGGAGACCTGAAAGTAAAGTGGAACCGAATTAATAAATTGCTGTTGTTACCATTCAAATGAAATCTTCAAACTATGTAAATCTGTAAACTAAATCCATCTTAGCACTGCAGAGGCCTGTTTCAGAAATGAGGTTAAGTGAAAAGTATCTTAACCTCGAAATGAAGGAAACTGGGTTTTCAGAATTGGAGAAATCTCAAACCTGAGAAAGCGGGTTAAGTCAAACCCTTTTAAGTGGTCATTTTCATATCGGTGATGAGCTCATATAGATTTTACAGTTTTATTTACACATTTTGATTTCCAAAACTTTAAAATAGACTTCTAAATCACTTCCTGTCACCTGTAGACGCTCAAGTAAGCAAGACCGAATAAATTAAGTATTTTAACTTGCTGCTTTGCTGTTAGCAGAGACATACTGCACAGATGCATGTTATTCATTCTAACCTCACTAGATTATGCTAGATCTAGGTCTTCGCTTCAGATGTTAGATTCCTACACTGATTAAATCATACTGTTAATTGCTTTGGTGATCTTATGATATTATTTTAAAGGATTTTGGAGATGGAGGAGCTTTTCCAGAGGTCCATGTGCCCCAGTATCCTCTGGAAATGGGTAGGAAGAAAAGGACGTCCAATGCTCTGGCAGTGCAGGTGGATGCAGAGGGCAAGATCAAATATGACGCCATTGCTAGGCAAGGTCAAAACAAAGACAAGGTGCCTCGTCTTCTTGTGTTGTTGAATTGTTAATATATATTCAGTGAATCACACCTGAAGAGGACATTTTCATTATTTTGTTTTCTTGTTTCAGGTTGTGTTCAGCAAAAACACAGACATGCTTCACGAAGATCATCCCGAGCTGCAGAAACCAGATGAAGAGACGGTGAAAGCGGTGAGATATGAGACTGAGAACAGGTTTAAATGTAGATATTTACTACAGGCTGAAATAGGGCTGTCAAAATAGCTAAAAAACTACATTTGATTCTTTTACCTAAATGTGGTGGTTGAGGAGATTCCCCCTTCTATGTAAAGCGCGTTGAGTGCCGAGAAAAGTGCTATATAAATGTAATGAATTTTTCTTATTATTATTAAATATATTATCAAATTATATTTGAATTTAAAAGGCATCATTTCAGTTAAAGCGAAACGCTTTTGGCTTGTTTCCTGTGTCCACAAGAGGACGCAATGAGAAAAATTGTAATGCAACTAATTTTATTTTTCAAAGCAATAAAAAGAATGACTGTCTGGAAAAAAGAAAGCATAACATTTATAAATCAAATATAATTTCAAAAACTGCATAAGAAATTATGAACAAAGCAGCATTATGTATTTATGCATAGTTACAATAGATAGATCCAAAGTACTTCTGCTTTTAAATCACGAGATTCAGTGGAACAGGGAAGAAAAGGGTTTTAAAAGTGCAAGACAGGAGTGCAGTTGTCAAAGATGTCTGTCTAGCGCTCAATGGAAAAGCAGTGCAGAATACTCTGCATTGAGCTGCTCTATTTCTGCATTGTTTAGAATAACCATTTTTGCATTCAAATGTGGATTTTAATTTTAAATTCGATGAATATTCGAAATGGGGTTTTGACAATAACAGCATTTCAGTAGTTAATACCATACCAGCGGAAGTTCATAATCATCATTAATATCAGTTTCGCTATCCCAGCGAAAAATGGAATTCTTATGATTGCTTTGTTTAAATTATTAACATCATATTAATTCTAATTAAGTTCTACATGTATGTTTTTAAATAAGGTAAGCTTTGTATATGCATTCTTTGGAGTAAGTGGACGACAGAAGCAGGTTTATCTTCATTTACACAGAAATGTATAATGCATAAATGCTGGTCCATGATTACTAACTTTGAGTGTTTTTTTTGTTAGCTGGTGTTAAAATGGCATGAACAATGTTGGTATTGTTGTTGTTGTTGTTTTTAATCAAACAATGATCCTCATGACTTTCAATAATGATGAAGCCAAGCCAGCATGAATTAACGTTCCAGTTTCCTCCTCCTGTAGATTACAGAAAAGGCCCGAGCAGCTCGGAATAAACTGGTCTCGCAGAAAATTGCAGCGGCCATGCCTGTACGTGCTGCAGACAAACAGGCCCCAGCACAGTATATTCGGTAAGACCAGTTATTATAATAAATAATTGTTCTGGGTTGAGATATATCGACAGTAGGATGTTGATGACCAGAAAATGATTTAAACTTGTGCCTTGTTTAAAATCAAGTAAAGCAAGACATTGTTGAAAGGTGTAATGTGCAGCTTGAATTTTTGTTCTAGCACAAGCATGAATTATTCAGTAAAACCCCATTTATTGTTTAACGATTAAAGCTGTCTAAATCATCGGTTATGAGGTGGGAGTAGTTGCCCCTTTGTGCTTCCATTTTTAACTGCATTACTGTAACAATTTTTGCTTTAAAAACGCTTTTGTAATCTATGTTATGCCACAGATACTCCCTACAGAGTTTGTATTGAACCTGAAAAAATCCTTTAACGTCAGTCTGAGAGTTTATTTATTTATTTATAGTTTTAAAACAGGAAAAGATATAGGACAATCGGGGCTGGCTCAAACTGATTTTCAGCAGGTTCCTGCTCTGCAGAACATAAAAACCACATACACAACAAAGCTCACACACTAGACAGCAAGAGACAACAACACACACACAAACCATGATATTGGGCAACAAGAGGGGGTGTAAAGCCGTCTCAATGTTCACAGATATACCTGTCCATTAAATGGCGAGCAAATATTATTTTAAATAGTCTTTTTGATGTGATATTTCTGATGTGCTGTGGGATCTCATTCCAGGTTTTTGTAAGCACATAAAAAAGATCTCTGTCCATAACAGTTTCTAAAAGCCGGTAAAGGTAAAAAGGCCATTTATAAAAGATCTCGTAGTGCGCTCAGACCTTGAGCTAAGAACCAGTTCGGTTAGAGCAGTTACAGTGTGTCCATTTGAGATTTGATGAAAGGTTTATCCCATGGCTTATTTTATAGTTCTGAAATGACAAGGCATTACACAAAGATAGTGCAGTACAGTGGTGAGTCCAGCCTGGGAGCCTGACATGGATCTTATGAGCTCTATTATAAAGTCTTATTACTGGTTTAATAATCTCATCTGTTGTTAGTGACCAAAAAGGTAAACAATATGACAAAGTAGACAGAATGAGGGCATGAAGATAGGTTTTTGAAACAGAAAACAACAAATAGAGTCTAATTTTGCTATAAACAAATAACTTTTGATTTAAGTTTCTGTGCGATGGTGTTTGCATTGCAAGAGGTTGACAGCAGTTTGTAATTGAGTTTGTGTTTGAGTTCACAAAAGTTCCATAAATTGTTTATATATTTCTTAAAGGTACACACCCTCCCAGCAAGGACTCGCGTTTAACTCTGGAGCGAAACAGAGGGTCATCCGTATGGTGGAAATGCAGAAAGATCCAATGGAACCACCGCGATTCAAGTATGTGACCTTAACCTGAGACTTGAGTGAAATTGGGTGGAAAACGCACAAGAAACTCAATGTTTGTGTTTTCTTACAGAATCAATAAGAAAATTCCTCCTGGACCTCCATCCCCTCCTGCTCCAGTCAAGGAAACTCCAAGAAGAAAAGTAGGAGTCTGGTTTCCACCAACTATCGATCTCAACATTGATAGTCGGCTTTGTTTACACTCACAGAAACCTGTCTGGAGGAAACATCTCAACTAAACATAATATTGCAAGCATAAAACTCCTATTTCCTTTTTTTTTTTTTTTTTGTAGATAACTGTGGAGAAACAGCAAAAGTGGAAGATTCCACCCTGTATTTCCAACTGGAAGAACGCAAAGGTAACGCTAAGCCTCCATCTGTTATTCAGCTGTTTACTGTTGTTTTAAAATATTGATTATGGATACAACCGCGTTGCTTTCTCTCACCTCTCATTTTGCTTCTCAGGGTTACACCATTCCTCTGGACAAGCGAGGCCCGCAGACCGTCCACATCAATGAGAACTTTGCCAAGCTGGCGGATGCTTTGGACAATGCAGAAAAAAAGGTAGACTGTGTATTCCTGCATCCCTGAACACTCTGAATTCCCAAATTGCTAAGTTTTCTGCCTTTTAAGAAGTAAAGAAGCCTTCAGCACTATCTGAGAGTAACACTATCTCATGATGACGTCTGTATTAAAACAAAAAAAACATGCCTCCTCTGAACAATTTGGAGAGCATTTATAGGTCTAGCTTTATTTTTGGTTGGGAATGCTCACCACAGTGCAAATAAATCCTTATCCTCAGGATCCTTATCGTAATCCTTAATATAATTAAGTTCTTTCTAGAGCTGGTAAATATTTTGACTTATTTTTATGCTGATGTTGTTGGTTGTGTGATGTGTACAGGCCAGAGAGGCTGTGGAGATGAGAGCTCAAGTGGAAAAGAAGATGGCCCAGAAAGAAAAAGAAAAGAAAGAAGAGAAGCTGAGAGAGTTGGCTAAGATGGCCAGAGACAGGAGAGCTGGAGTCAAATCCCATGGTGACAAAGGTACAAGAAGACGTTCACACCATCATTGAACGTCAATGTGTTACTCTTGTACTTGTTATCATACACAGCATATGTGGTATTTTTCTGAAACATTTGATATTTTAACTATCGCTGTTTGAAATCAATTTTATGTTTAAAGTTCATATTTATTTTAAATGTGTTTTCTAATTGATGAATTGAAAAGGGAGACGATTTGGTCTCAGCCCTTGTTTCAGTCATCAGAGTGCTGTCACTATTGGTGAGATCACCATGGATGTCTTTGATTTTCTCTCAGGTGGTGAAGAGACAGAAGTCAGGGAGCGTGATGAGATCCGTCACGAGAGGAGGAGAGAAAGGCAGCACGACAGGAACATCTCCAGAGCCGCCCCTGATAAGAGGTACATGCATTTTTACACACTTGCCCTGAATCATTCTTGGGCCGGTAGAACTAGTGCACACATCCCATTTTAATGTACGTAGTTTTGCGTTATTTTCTGCGCTCTGATCACACACAAGTCCCACCGGTGTTCATTTTTACATCAGGCACCTTTTAGTGAAACAAACTTGACACATCCCGTATTCAGACCCATTTTGTCATGCTTGTTCTCTCAGTATATTTTCGTGCTTTTTTGTCCTTAGCCAATCACATGCCTGAGCACAGCTCTTGACCGATCAGAATCAAGGATTCGAACTAACCGTTTTATAAACCCACATACTATTACATCAGGTGATCCCTGTTAATAAGATGTAAACGTCCATCCATATACAGATGTAATTGACATTAATAGGGATCACCTGGTGTTTTAATAGTTCTGTTAACATCACTTGCCTAATTTATTTCTTTTCTCAATTTTGTAGTTTTCTCCCTGAACCCACCCAACTGTCCCAGGACCAGTTAGAGGCGGAGGAGAGGTCTCGTGTTCAGGGGTCACAATCCACTGCTTCGGTCTCCACTCGCAGAGAACCTCCTCCCTACGGCTCCAGGAAATCATGGGTGCCCCGGTCACTAGAGGTAGTACTGCAATACAAGATTATTTATGATTTGATTAGAGATTATTTTTGGAAGAATTTATATGTATGTATATGTAAATATACGCAAGGAGACCTGAAAGTAAAGTGGAACCGAATTAATAAATTGCTGTTGTTACCATTCAAATGAAATCTTCAAACTATGTAAATCTGTAAACTACATCCATCTTAGCACTGCAGAGGCCTGTTTCAGAAATGAGGTTAAGTGAAAGGTATGTTAACCTCGAAATGAAGGAAACTCTGGGTTTTCAGAATTGGAGAAATCTCAAACCTAAGAAAGCGGGTTAAGTCAAACCCTTTTAAGTGGTCATTTTCATATCGGTGCATCGTTTTTACAGTTTTATTTACACATTTTGATTTCCAATACTTTAAAATAGACTTCTAAATCACTTCCTGTCACCTGTAGACACTCAAGTAAGCAAGACCGAATAAATTAAGTATTTTTACTTGCTGCTTTGCTCTTAGCAGAGACAGGTTGTGTTCAGCAAATACACACACATGCTTCACGAAGATCATCCCGAGCTGCAGAAACCAGATGAAGAGACGGTGAAAGCGGTGAGATATGAGACTAAGAACAGGTTTAAATGTAGATATTTACTACAGGCTGAAATAGGGCTGTCAAAATAGCTGAAACACTACATTTGATTCTTTTACCTAAATGTGGTGGTTGAGGAGATTCCCCCTTCTATGTAAAGTGCGTTGAGTGCGGAGAAAAGTGCTATATAAATGTAATGAATTTTTCTTCTTATTATTAAATATATTATCAAATTATATTTGAATTTAAAAGGCATCATTTTAGTTAAAGGGAAACGCTTTTGGCTTGTTTCCTGTGTCCACAAGAGGACGCAATGAGAAAAATTGTAATGCAACTAATTTTTTTTTCAAAGCAACAAAAAGAATGACTGTCTGGAAAAAAGAAAGCATAACATTTATAAATCAAATATAATTTCAAAAACTGCATAAGAAATTATGAACAAAGCAGCATTATGTATTTATGCATAGTTACAATAGATAGATCCAAAGTACTTCTGCTTTTAAATCATGAGATGCAGTGGAACAGGGAAGAAAAGGGTTTTAAAAGTGCAAGACAGGAGTGCAGTTGTCAAAGATGTCTGTCTAGCGCTCAATGGAAAAGCAGTGCAGAATACTCTGCATTGAGCTGCTCTATTTCTGCATTGTTTAGAATAACCATTTTTGCATTCAAATGTGGATTTTAATTTTAAATTCGATGAATATTCGAAATGGGGTTTTGACAATAACAGCATTTCAGTAGTTAATACCATACCAGCGGAAGTTCATAATCATCATTAATATCAGTTTCGCTATCCCAGCGAAAAATGGAATTCTAATGATTGCTTTGTTTAAATTATTAACATCATATTAATTCTAATTAAGTTCTACATGTATGTTTTTAAATAAGGTAAGCTTTGTATATGCATTCTTTGGAGTAAGTGGACGACAGAAGCAGGTTTATCTTCATTTACACAGAAATGTATAATGCATAAATGCTGGTCCATGATTACTAACTTTGAATTTTTTTTGTTAGCTGGTGTTAAAATGGCATGAACAATGTTGGTATTGTTGTTGTTGTTGTTTTTAATCAAACAATAATCCTCATGACTTTCAATAATGATGAAGCCAAGCCAGCATGAATTAACGTTCCAGTTTCCTCCTCCTGTAGATTACAGAAAAGACCCGAGCAGCTCTGAATAAACTGGTCTCGCAGAAAATTGCAGCGGCCATGCCTGTACGTGCTGCAGACAAACAGGCCCCAGCACAGTATATTCGGTAAGACCAGTTATTATAATAAATAATTGTTCTGGGTTGAGATATATCGACAGTAGGATGTTGATGACCAGAAAATGATTTAAACTTGTGCCTTGGTTAAAATCAAGTAAAGCAAGACATTGTTGAAAGGTGTAATGTGCAGCTTGAATTTTTGTTCTAGCACAAGCATGAATTATTCAGTAAAACCCCATTTATTGTTTAACGATTAAAGCTGTCTAAATCATCGGTTATGAGGTGGGAGTAGTTGCCCCTTTGTGCTTCCATTTTTAACTGCATTACTGTAACAATTTTTGCTTTAAAAACGCTTTTGTAATCTATGTTATGCCACAGATACTCCCTACAGAGTTTGTATTGAACCTGAAAAAAATCCTTTAACGTCAGTCTGAGAGTTTATTTATTTATTTATAGTTTTAAAACAGGAAAAGATATAGGACAATCGGGGCTGGCTCAAACTGATTTTCAGCAGGTTCCTGCTCTGCAGAACATAAAAACCACATACACAACAAAGCTCACACACTAGACAGCAAGAGACAACAACACACACACAAACCAAGATATTGGGCAACAAGAGGGGGTGTAAAGCCGTCTCAATGTTCACAGATATACCTGTCCATTAAATGGCGAGCAAATATTATTTTAAATAGTCTTTTTGATGTGATATTTCTGATGTGCTGTGGGATCTCATTCCAGGTTTTTGTAAGCACATAAAAAAAAGATCTCTGTTTCATTAACAGTTTCTAAAAGCCGTTAAAGGCAAAAGTCCATTTATAAAAGATCTCGTAGTGCGCTCAGACCTTGAGCTAAGTCTTGGAACCAGTTCGGTTAGAGCAGTTACAGTGTGTCCATTTGAGATTTGATGAAAGGTTTATCCCATTTCTTATTTTATAGTTCTGAAATGACAAGGCATTACACAAAGATAGTGCAGTACAGTGGTGAGTCCAGCCTGGGAGCCTGACATGGATCTTATGAGCTCTATTATAAAGTCTTATTACTAGTGTAATAATCTCATCTGTTGTTAGTGACCAAAAAGGTAAACAATATGACAAAGTAGACAGAATGAGGGCATGAAGATAGGTTTTTGAAACAGAAAACAACAAATATGGTCTAATTTTGCTATAAACATATAACTTTTGATTTAAGTTTCTGTGCGATGGTGTTTGCATTACAAGAGGTTGACAGCAGTTTGTAATTGAGTTTGTGTTTGAGTTCACAAAAGTTCCATAAATTGTTTATATATTTCTTAAAGGTACACACCCTCCCAGCAAGGACTCGCGTTTAACTCTGGAGCGAAACAGAGGGTCATCCGTATGGTGGAAATGCAGAAAGATCCAATGGAACCACCGCGATTCAAGTATGTGACCTTAACCTGAGACTTGAGTGAAATTGGGTGGAAAACGCACAAGAAACTCAATGTTTGTGCTTTCTTACAGAATCAATAAGAAAATTCCTCCTGGACCTCCATCCCCTCCTGCTCCAGTCAAGGAAACTCCAAGAAGAAAAGTAGGAGTCTGGTTTCCACCAACTATCGATCTCAACATTGATAGTCGGCTTTGTTTACACTCACAGAAACCTGTCTGGAGGAAACATCTCAACTAAACATAATATTGCAAGCATAAAACTCCTATTTCCTTTTTTTTTTTTTTTTTGTAGATAACTGTGGAAGAACAGCAAAAGTGGAAGATTCCACCCTGTATTTCCAACTGGAAGAACGCAAAGGTAACGCTAAGCCTCCATCTATTATTCAGCTGTTTACTGTTGTTTTAAAATATTGATTATGGATACAACCGCGTTGCTTTCTCTCACCTCTCATTTTGCTTCTCAGGGTTACACCATTCCTCTGGACAAGCGAGGCCCGCAGACCGTCCACATCAATGAGAACTTTGCCAAGCTGGCGGATGCTTTGGACAATGCAGAAAAAAAGGTAGACTGTGTATTCCTGCATCCCTGAACACTCTGAATTCCCAAATTGCTAAGTTTTCTGACTTTTAAGAAGTAAAGAAGCCTTTAGCACTATATCAACATTACAGAACAGTTTCTCAGGCCAAAATGATGTATAAAGCACTATCTGAGAGTAACACTATCTCATGATGACGTCTGTATTAAAAAAAAAAAAAAATCATGCCTCCTCTGATCAATTTGGAGAGCATTTATAGGTCTAGCTTTATTTTTGGTTGGGAATGCTCGCCACAGTGCAAATAAATCCTTATCCTCAGGATCCTTATCCTAATCCTTAATATAATTAAGTTCTTTCTAGAGCTGGTAAATATTTTGACTTATTTTTATGCTGATGTTGTTGGTTGTGTGATGTGTACAGGCCAGAGAGGCTGTGGAGATGAGAGCTCAAGTGGAAAAGAAGATGGCCCAGAAAGAAAAAGAAAAGAAAGAAGAGAAGCTGAGAGAGTTGGCTAAGATGGCCAGAGACAGGAGAGCTGGAGTCAAATCCCACGGTGACAAAGGTACAAGAAGACGTTCACACCATCATTGAACGTCAATGTGTTACTCTTGTACTTGTTATCATACACAGCATATGTGGTATTTTTCTGAAACATTTGATATTTTAACTATCGCTGTTTGAAATCAATTTTATGTTTAAAGTTCATATAAATGTGTTTTCTAATTGATGAATTGAAAAGGGAGACGATTTGGTCTCAGCCCTTGTTTCAGTCATCAGAGTGCTGTCACTATTGGTGAGATCACCATGGATGTCTTTGATTTTCTCTCAGGTGGTGAAGAGACAGAAGTCAGGGAGCGTGATGAGATCCGTCACGAGAGGAGGAGAGAAAGGCAGCACGACAGGAACATCTCCAGAGCCGCCCCTGATAAGAGGTACATGCAGTTTTTACACACTTGCCCTGAATCATTCATGGGCCGGTAGAACTAGTGCACACATCCCATTTTAATGTACGTGGTTTTGCGTTATTTTCTGCGCTCTGATCACACACAAGTCCCACCGGTGTTCATTTTTACATCAGGCACCTTTTAGTGAAACAAACTTGACACATCCCGTATTCAGACCCATTTTGTCATGCTTGTTATAATATATTTAATCTGTGGTTGTAATAGCTTGAATTATTCATGCTTTTTCCTCAAAAAAAGTTCGTTTGTGAATTCCCTGAACTCCCAGTTTGAGACGCGTGTAATGCAGCGTGATGTCTCTTTGTGTGAGGTGTTAATGTGGGTTTCGCTGATGTCAGTGTAATTTTGGTCCGTCCAGGTCGAAGCTACAAAGAGATCAGGACAGGGACATCAGTGAGCTCATTGCCCTGGGACAACCGAACCCCCGTACCTCCAGTGAGGCTCAGTATGACCAGCGACTCTTCAATCAGAGCAAGGTAATCAACCCCCTCAGGCTTTGCTGATCTCAAATTGGTCACCTTACTGATTTAAATTCATCAGTGTAACGTTAAAGTGCGCAATTAAACGCATGAAATAAAGTGGTTAAGTCCAAGAGAATCCTTTTCCCTCTTTTTTCTGCCTCTGTGATTTTTCTGTTGATGAATCTTAGACCTTGTTTGGCAGGGAACATATTAATATGTTAATAAGAAACGACTGAAGACTCATTAATACTAACACTTAGTATTCTATATATCTCTTTAAAAAAGAAAACCTTTCTACATGTATTGTGCTCGACTAACTGGGACTGGTCACAGCATTTGAGTATTGTTGGTGTGATTGATGTATTGAACTTGTATTGATTGGTAAAGAAATTATGATTTTTCAGAACGTGGGGAATTATTGGCAATCTCTAGTGTGTATATTATTATTTATTTTTTTAGTTTTACATATAATAATATTATTATTTTAATAATAATATTTTGACTATAAAATGTTTTTAAAAAATCAATACAAATGAGTATAAGATGCACTTTTCATAGCTGTGAGGTATAAATCTCACTGTTTGTTTGTGTGTTTCAGGGGATGGACAGTGGTTTTGCCGGTGGCACGGATGAGATTTATAATGTGTATGATCAGCCCTTCAGAAGTGGCCGAGACATGGCACAGAATATCTACAGGCCTGGGAGCAGCAGGTATGGAGACAGCTGCATTACAGAAAAACACATCAGACACATTAAATTAAAATACAAAGGATATCATTACAATCTTATCAACTTGCTTTAGGCCCGACTGAATGTGGTTAGAATTACAACAGATGTGTATTGGGTCTCTTTGACACGTTTGTTTATTGTATTATAGCCGCCTCGTTCACGCACTTGAATGATCCCCTTTCTCTCTCCAGGTTTGTTCCTGATCGGGAGTTCTCGGGTGCGGACCATGGCCCCCGGCGCTACGGCCCGGTGCAGTTCGAGGAGGATCCTTTCGGTCTGGATAAGTTCTTTGAGGAAGCCAAGCAGCACGGAGGCTCCAAGAGGGCGTCCACTAGTGACCGCTCAAAGGACTACGACCACGTGAAGAAACGCAGGAAGGAGTGAGACACTTCCACTGTACACAAATGCTGGGTCAAATCCTCCTCCCCCTATTTTTTAGAGCTGTAAAGTGAATGATGAACTATTAGTCATATGGCGTTTCATCTAACCCTAACCCAGTCGTGTTTCTTCAAACTGTTGTACTGCAAAGCCATTCAAATAAATGTCTTGTAGAGGATTTCATTGAATGTGAAAGATTATTTATGAAATTTGTCTAAAGTAATCTCTGAACAGTGCTCTACTTGAGTACAAGATGAGATGAATTTTTAATGACTCTCTCCATTAGTCTTTTAAATCCAGTGCATCTGCGGGAACAAACATGAGCTCTCCTTGAGTTTAAGGGGAAGATTAGTATTGTTTGGTTAGTTTGAGAGCTTTATAAAGAATGCATAGCTTACATTACATGCAAAAATAATCTGTAAATTGGTCCTCTATGAAAGGGCACCTATTATGCCCCTTTTTTACAAGATGTAATATTGGTCTATGAGCCCGATTGGCCCTTTGGTTTTTACACCACTATAATCCCTGGCTCAAGACGGACAAGATGTATATCTCGAATTTGCATTTAATGCCAAAAATAAAAAGTTATGTCGAATTTTGTCCAAAACCTACTTTTGCGAACTAGTCCCTTTTACCTGATCGGAACCAAACCAGTCCTATTCTCTGGACTGTCTAAATAAATAATTATCGAGAAAAAAAAAAGTTGAAATTTTGTATTTGGTTGGCTATAAAATACAGCCAAAAGCCAATAAATCCCCCCCAAAAAGTCACAACTTCACAAACATCGATGAGCATATGTGTCCTAACATGGTTAGGAAGCATGCAAAGTTTCATGAGGATCGGATCATAGGTGGCGCTATAATCGTCAAAAAGGTCTCTCATTATTAGGTGTTCAAGCACGAAGTGAGGAAAACTTAATATTTGCTAGAAAGAAAAAAAAATCCCCTAAAACGTATCGTGCAGCCCAAACCGTAAGGCCTAGAGACTTGAAACTCAGCCAGATGGTAGGGCCTCAAATTGAGGAGAACCTAGCAGAGTATGAGCCCGATTGGCCCATAGGTACTAAATTGCTCATAACTCCAGACGGTTTGACTTAGCTTCAAGGTTTTTACACCAATGTATATCTCGGATTTGCATTCAAGGCCAAAAATAAAAATGTATGCCCAGAGAACTGCATTGGCATCTGCAAGTTTGAGGACTTTTTGTCCTGCTCAAAGCTCCACTGTAAAGCAAAGCACACTGTAAAAAAAATCCTAATTTTACAGAAAATAATTCTAAAAATTTTAGAGTATTTTTCTGTTATTTAAAATTATATTCAGAATACTGTAAAATTACGAACAATGTCTGTAAATTAATGAATTGACTGTTTATTTAAGGATTTTTATCATGAATTGCAAATTACAGTAGGCCTACTGCTTATTTTTAATACTGAACATTTACTGTATTATTTTATACAGCATGTTTCTGTTTTCTTAAATTACATACAAAGTTGTGTAAAATTACAATAATAATGTGTAAATAAATATGAAGCTCGTTATACGACGGAACATAGTTAGTCTACGTTAAAAGGTTTATATCCATACTTACAATCTAACATATTTCCTTGTCATTTTAAAGTTGTTTTTTGTTGTTTTTGTTTTTGTTGTTGTTTCTCAAAAAGGATAAATTCTGATATTTTGTAAAGAGAAAACAGTAGCCGTTTCAAATCCAGATTTGTAAAAGGGGAAGGAAAACATAAGTTAGCTTCTTCCTTCTCCTTTTTTTTCTATATTCTTTTTCTTCTCTTTTGAACATGCTGAGATTTTGTTTTTATTATTTTTTGTTTAAATATGCTCTGTTATGGTTATCAATGACCATGTTCTGAAGAGGAAAAGGAAATGAAAAGAAATAAATTATTCATTCATTCATTCATTTTAAAGTAAATATTATTATTTTTACATTTAATTGTATTTTTACATATAAACTCTGTTATTGTCGATATAAAATTTTAGAAAACTTTTATCATTGCATTAAACAATTCGTAGTCTCTTGAAACTTTCAGTCATGTTGTGCTTCTGGCCACACACACAATCAGTGATGTCACAGAAAGTGAAAGCATTTACATTCCAAGAAAGTGGACTAAAGTAAATTTAAATGTCAGGAATGCTTTGCAATTATAGTCCAGACATGATTTAGTTAAACAAGAATGAAAAGAGAAGTAAATAAGTAGTAATAAATATGCAGTGTTTTCTCTGTTAAATATATCTTTGCTCTGTTGAATTGTTGTTTAGCAAAGCAGTGGTAAATATATTTTTTTATAGTTTATGAAGCGTTACACCGGACCTTTATGGTATATGTTACCAAAAAATTTTAACCATGCACTTCAATGAAAACACAATTTAACCACGTGTATTTTTTTCTATTCTTTCTTTTAAAACATGACTTATTTTCCAGTAATTGCAATGTTACCACACTATTGGCTGCCTGCGAGTGTTTTTGAGCTGCCATGATTGGTTATTTTTAGTGTCATACAGGAATTTGGCCAATGACAACTATGCACGGTTGCGCGCCTTCAGTTCAGTTTGAATTTCGTCAGTTCAGTTCAGTTGGAGTGAGTGTGCTTGTGCTACTGCGCGGGTTCTGGACAACGTTACTTCGGTTCTGTGGCTTTTATATTGTTTAAACATGGATTGTTTTACATCGGACAGCAACATTTTTTTTTTGAGTGAGTTGCGGGATGTAAAATAAAGAACAAATGTAATATGGAGAACGTATTTTAACAACGTGTAGCTAACGGACATAATGCAATCTGCGGAAGGTAAGTTAACGTTAAGTAACACTTCATTTTATGGAAAAAACAAATCTGGTAACGTTAACGTTAAATAAAAATATAGTGTGTTAAGTTGAGAATCCTGACGCAATATTTCAATGTAACTTATTAGGCTAATGTTAACGTATGTATGGTATGTGTTGCTAGCATGTGTAACGTTAAATATTGTCAGATGATTTAACGTTAGATACTCCTCCATGGGAGCTTTACAATAAATTAAACGAGAACATTGTCTTTAGTTTTTAGAGACAGAAAGGAACTCGAACCACAATCCTTCACCTAGAAGAATTTTTGAATCTACTGTTGATCGCGGGATATAACTATGGCCTACTGATCAGTCAAAATGACGAGTCATTCTAAAATGTTTTGGAGCTGGTGAGTAAACTTTTGCAAGCGTTTGTAAATGTCTCTGTTAGTAAAAACAAATAGCTAATATTCCTGTGTATATGTGTCTGTTTCCCTCATGATCCAGGAATTTTGGGAAAAAATATTAACGTTATCTAGCCACACGATCTTCAGATGCGTGAGTATTGCCATAGTAATACACATGAAATAGAGGCAGAACATGTAAACTCTGCTGAAAGGCACACTGATTCAAACCCTTCTGACTAGGGGTGGGCGATATGGAAAAAATATCATATCACGATTTTTTTTAGGAAAATCACGATTATGTAATGAAATGTAATCTGTAATGCTGTAATGAAAAAAATAAATAAAAAATAAGACAAGATAAACATTATTACACAAATTAATATTCATATTAAATAAATAGTGCTTTATTTTTTTCAGATGCAGTAGGTGTATTTAGCAGTAGCATTGAAGTAATTAAATGAACAAATATGAAATTAAAACACCACATAGACTTCACTGAATAAATTGATTCTTATTAAAGCTATATTAAAGTTCTCAGTCAGTGAGTGATTTTCTCCTTGTGTTTTTTTTTTGTTTTATTAACACTAAAGGGAGTTCCCTCAAAAATGAAAATTGTCTTAATTTACTCTCTCAAGATTTTTTAAACCTGAATAAGTTTCTTTCTTCTGTTGAAAATAAAAGTTATTTTGAATAATGTGGGTAACCGAACAGTTGCTGGTCCCCTTATAGTTTTTTTATAGGTTCTCTCCTGGAAGTTAATGGGGACCAGCAACTGTTTGGTTACCCACATTAAAAAAAAATTGTAGTTAACACAGGTTTGGAACAACATTAGAGTGAGTAAATAATGACGGATTTTTTTTTTTTTTTTTTTTTTGTGAACTATCCCTTTAATGACAAGCGGCAGTACTATTTATTCCTGTCGCTTTTAGACCAGCACGCGTCGCGTTTAATATAATAATAATAATAATTCATCACATTTATATAGCGCCTTTCTGGACACTCAAAGCGCTTCACATAGAGGGGGGAATCTCCTCAACCACCACCAGTGTGCAGCATCCACCTGGATGATGCGACGGCTGCCATTCGCCTTATTCACTTGGCGGCCATTTTGAAAATGGAACGCCGCTGAGGGGTACACTCACCCGGAAGGATGCATGCGACGCAGCAGCACCAGCAATGAAAACTCGCAGTGCGGACCACCAATCATTCCTGTCTGCCCGAATTAACGATGCAAAATGTGAAGCAAAGTGCCAGTGACTGAAACATCCCCCGGGCTGTGTTAATTAAGGGATACAGTACCTGTATCGGAGGTTTTATCCACGACATTGAACGTAAGAATGGACGCCAATTTACCTCAGTTTCTGCAAGCTTGTAGGAAGTTGACTGTGTACTATTAGAATCTATACAAATCCATTACCATCATTATTTTTATTCTTTATGAATCTATACATATATGTAAACTTGTATTGTCACCATAGCAGCTTATCATTGTCAGTGTGTAACAGGATCAGTCCCTGTCAGACCTTAAAATCACTTCTCCTCTTTCCTTTTACATACATGTGCGTGATTTGATTGTTTTACATGCATGTGTGTATATGTAAGCTACTGGATGTGTATCTATCTAAACAATAAAGTACAATTGTATCTAACATAGTAACTTACACAGTCAACAACTCCATATTACAGCTTAGCTTACTAACGTTAATTACCTCTGGCTGCTGCAAGCTCGCAGAAACTGGCAAGGCGTCCATTCCTACGTTCATGTCGTGGATAAAACCTCCGATACAGGTACTGTATCCCTTAATTAACACAGCCCGGGGGATGTTTCAGTCACTGGCACTTTGCTTCACATTTTGCATCGTTAATTCGGGCAGACAGGAATGATTGGTGGTCCGCATTGCGAGTTTTCATTGCTGGTGCTGCTGCGTCGCATGCATCCTTCCGGGTGAGTGTACCCCTCAGCGGCGTTCCATTTTCAAAATGGCCGCCAAGTGAATAAGGC